AGAAGAGGTTCGCCAGGCCCGAGGAGGAGGGAAAGCCCCGGGGAGGTCCAGGCTGAATGTAATTCAGACTCAGTCCGAGAGAATGTCAATCTAGGGGACAGGAACCCCTGGTAACAAAAATGTTCACCTTTCCAGAGCCCCAAAACTCATCTTTTTTCTTTTTAGTTATTATTTTTAATATGTTTTTATTGATTTTAGAGGGGGTGGGGAGGGAGAGGGAGAGAGAGAGAAACACCAATGTGAGAGTGCAACCTTGATCAGCTGCCTCCTGCACGCCCTCCACTGGGGATCAGGCCTGCAACCGGGCATGTGCCCTGACCAGGAATCGAACCAGCGACCTCTTGGTGCATAGGACGACACTCAACCTACTGGGCCACACTGGCCAAGGCCCAAAACTCATCTTTTAATAGCTGGGCATTCTTTGTATGAAACATCAGCCCTACTCCCTGCCTTTTTAAGGTTCTCATCTTCCCTCCTGTGACAGATGGCACCGGACGGAGGGCACTGTGTGTGGGGTCAGGACACTTGGAGTCCAGCCCCTGAGCAAGCCACTTAACTTCCCGACGCCTCACTCCCCTCCTGGAGCTATCCCAGGATCCTCGCTGTGCCCCGGTGCCCAGCACAGTTGGAAGTCCGTAAATGAGGAGGGGTGAGCCCTAACCGGTTTGGCTCAGTGGATAGAGCATCAGCCTTCGGACTCAAGGGTCCCAGGTTCGATTCAGGTCAAGGGCATGTACCTTGGTTGCGGGCACATCCCCAGTGGGGGTTGTGCAGGAGGTGGCTGATGGATATTTCTCTCTCATCAATGTTTCTAACTCTCTATTCCTCTCCCTTCCTCTCTGTAAAAAATCAATAAAATATATTTTTTAAAAAATGAGGAGGGGTGAGCGTGCAGGCAGCATGCGGGGTCAGAACGAGGGCAGTCTGTTTATCAGCTCAGAGTTGATCTCAAAAAGTATAATGTGAGTCTCAATAGACTTCCCGCCTCCATCAGTTTCATTCTCCATCATGAAGAAACGCCTCATTGTGAGCTGTTTAGGGAGACTGTGATGGGAACTTGGCTAGGAACTGACAGTGGAGAAAGCCCAAGTGGTTACGTTATTTAACCTCGGAGATAAGAGCTTTAGGGATGTGAATGTTCAGATATGAAATGGGATGAAGTCCACGCTCTGGAACGAGGGTCTGCTGGCTTCTGGGGGCCTCCACACTTCGAAGAAAAGAGAAGTAAATGCTGGTTCCCCTCGTGGTGACCACGGCCAGGAAGATCCTGGCCTCGCAGACCTGTCCCAGCCCAGGACTCTGCAGGGGTCCTGCGCGCACAGCCCCGCTATCCTCTCCAGGGCACATGGTGAGGCCGGCTCCACGCAGGCTGACTTCTCCCCTGGGTGCCGCAGCCCCCTGCCCCGCTGCCTGTGCCCACACCTCGGGCGAGGGGCCAGGAACCTGCCGCTTCCACACGAAGGAACACGGCTTCTTCCTCTGTGCGCCCAGGACTCACCATAAACTGGGTGGGAGGGGGCCGTGGAGAGGGGCGAGCTACCCCAAACTTCCCCGTGGACACCGGCTGCTTAGTTCATGAATGAGACGCAGTGTGTGAGCGCCCCCTACTGCTCGCACCTAGAATTGAGCCCCAGGGCAGGGACTCAAAATAATCTTTCTTTGCCTTTAAATCCAAACTTACAAAATACGTTTGTAAACCAAATTAAAAGGCTTTCGTTTAAAATACATACTCAATGAAACAGCTCAAGCTGTTAGCCACTCACTCATTTTTTAAAAATATTTTTTTTATTGATTTCAGAGAGGAAGGGAGAGGGAGAGAGAAGTAGAAACATCAATGATGAGGGAGAATCATTGATTGGCTGCCTTCTGCACACCCCCTACTGGGGAATTGCCCGCAACCCCGCATGTGCCCTTGACTGGAATCGAACTCAAGACCCTTCAGTCCGCAGGCCGACGCTCTATCCACTGAGCCAAACCAGCTAGGGCCACTCACTCATTTTTCAAAAGCCTTCGGACTAGAACAGAGCGGACTTGTCTTTTCAGCTCTGATGCTACATCCCCCTGGGTCCCAGCGAACAGCCTGGTCACTGGGGGGTGAGACAGAGGCCTCCTGCCCACGGGCTCCCTTTGGGGATCTTCTCCGGGTCTGGGAATCTGAGCGGAGGGGACGCCTCCAGGCTCCGCAGGACTCTCCTCCTTTTCCATGCACTGCTCCAGGCCAAGGTGGCCCCATCTCTGTTGGCCCCTGTTCCCTTCGCCTCCAGCTTCGCCCCCAGCCAGCCAGCGGTCAGCAGACATGGATGGCGGAGGGAGGAAGGCGAGGGGCAGCGCTGACCCTTCGGGTCCAGGTCAGAACGTGTTGTCCCTCTGCTCACCGCCAAGATCTCCCGTCCACACTGGCCCGGGCAGAGGAACAGGAGGAAGACGGTTGGCCCCTGAGGAAGGGAAATGCCTGGGGCAGCCAGGGGCAGCCAAGGAAATGGGGGAGGGAACGATTTTTGAAATGCTGAAGGAGCCATTTCGGAGGCCAGCTAGTGGAAGTGCATTTTGGCCTTTTCCTCGTGGCCTGAGCCAGTGAGTTTATTCCAGGCAGGAGAGGGCCTGGCCCAGCATCCCAGGGCCCCCGGGGGCTTCCAGAGGCAGCACAGGACTCGGTGCAGCAGCTGGTTTGCATCCTTCCTTCTCTTACGAAGGAATCTTGGGCAAGGCACCTGGCTACCCTGCTGGGTGTTGCTGGTTATGCATCACGGAGGAGCCGATGACCCCCCAGGGTCCCACCAGCGCAGACACCCAGTGGGAGACAGGGAGATAACCCAGAACACCATCGGGCAGAGGCACAGACAGAGGAGTGCAGCGAGTTCCTGCCGCTACAAGCCTGTCTGTGCTCTCGCAGCGTTCGGGAGGGGACCCACATACCTCCAGCGCAGGTCGGGAGTTCTTTCTCCTGTGGAGTTGAATGCGGCATTCTTCCAGGTCTAAAAGGGCGCCTCGAGCGGCTGTCATCCCAGGAAATACTTCCCACTGAGCAACTGGAGGATCGTGGGAAAGTCCCTGCCCATCTGAAAAGGCCCCTCTCCCTGCACTCAGCCCAGGCAGGCAGGCCCTGTGACCTCAGGCCCTGTGACCTCACACGGACTAAGGGACTAGGAATGTGAACTCTCCCCAGCCCTGGACCTGCTTTCTTCTTTCTTTCTTTTCAATTGATTTTTATTTAATTTATATTTTTATTGATTTCAGAGAGGAAGGGAGAGATAGAAACATCAATGATGAAGATCATTGATTGGCTGCCTCCTGCATGCCCCACACTGGAAATTGATTGAGCCTGAAACCCAGGCATGTTCCCTGACCAGGAATCGAACCTGCCACCTTTTAGTGTATAGGATGATGCTGCAACCAACTGAGCTACCCAGCTGGGACCGGGACCTGCTTCTAGGTGTCCGCCTGGTCCGGGCCTGATGAGCCGTAGCAGCCCCACATCCTACATCGATTGCCCTTCCCCATCACAAGTGGCACAGAGGGCCCATGACAAAGACTCCTCATCCTTTCCTCTGGGTTCTGTAAATAAGTTTGTCACCAGGTCTCCCTACCAGTCACATGTTCCAAACACATATTTTCATTTTTCAAGCTGTTTCTGGGCATTTTTTCCTGTCCTATCAGGTATACGGACAGCACTTAGATTATGAAATTCAAAAGTGTCTGATGCCTTTGATTCTGTGGACTGTTTTCTGAAGGTACTGCTGTGTGAAGCAATCGAGAGGCACCCGACCAGTGTGGCTCAGTGGTTGAGCATCGACCTATGAACCAGGAGGTCATGGTTCCATTCCTGGTCAGGGCACATGCCCAGGTTGCAGGCTCGATCCCCAATAGAGGGCGTGAAGGAGACAGCCCATCAATGATTCTCTCATCATTGATGCTTCTATCTCGCTCTCCCTCTCTCTCTGACATCAATAAAAAAAAAAAAATTAAGAGGTCAAGAGACTTACTGGACCTGGTTCCTACCCCTCTCACACACACAACCCCCACCCTCCCCCCGACACACACTCCACCGTGTCCTTGTAGCTCTTTGGAAAAAGCACAGGCCGAGGGTGCAAGAATGCCCTTTTTGAGTTAAAGGAGTCCACATGCAGTTCCAGGGGAGGGGTCTGGCTCAGAGACTGTTATTCTCCATCTCAGGGGTGTGGGCAGGGAAATGGTGACGCGTCCAAGGTGAAGGACACATGCAGTGGAGTAAGCACAGCGCCAGGGAAAAGGGAAAGTGTGGTCGGCATCCCAGGAAAATACACACACCCTGCCACGGGGAGCGGCTGTGGAAGAAACAGACAGTGGAATGGGTCCTTTTCCTCCTCCTCTTCCGAGGGGAAACAGCTCTGGGCGTGACTTCAGGGAACAATGAGGGGAGGGGCGAGGACAGAAGGGAGCCTCGGAGCTGCCCACACAGGACGCTGGAACTGGGGAACAGGGAATGGGGGGAAAGCAGGAAGGGGTAATGGAACTCCTTGAAGCCCTAAGGGTTAGGGCTTCTTGTCATCTGTGGAGGCAGAATAGGCCACAAGGCGACCAGCGTGATGTGCCAACGCTGCTCTGAGGATCGGAGCTGCTCTTTCTTCTGCATCTTTCCTGGAAAATGGGTGGGGCACCTGAACACAAAGGTGCTATAGACAGGCCTCCCCTTGTGCTCAGCTCACTCCTGCTCTCCCCGATATGCTGCTACAGCTCCCTCTCCTCTCCTGGCCCTGGCACGGCTCAAAAGGGCACCTCTGAGGAGAGCCAGGCTGATCCCGGGCTGCCAGCTGGGTCGCAGGAGCCTGTGCCCCCGCACAGACGCGGAGGGAAGACCAGGGCACAAACCTGTGGGCATCTTCCCTCCCTGCCGTCGAGGCCAATGCCTGTCCTATGGAAGAGGCTTGAGCCGTCTTCCAGGCAATCCCTCCGCGTAGCAGCAGGAGATACACATTCACGCTCCTGCTTTGGGGTCAGCACTACAGTAAGAACACAAATACTTAAAAAGAAATAAAGTATTTTACTCAAACACACAAACACACTCTGAACCCCAGCTGGGAGCTGGTAGAACAGTTCGCGTTGTAGACCTGTCTATCGTCCAGGGTCCTCCGGGCCCGGCTTCCTGAAGAGCGTCCCCAGGAGCCACAGCGCCCAGCCCCACTCCGGGGCAGCATCGCGGCTGGGCCTGGATCAGAGGCGAGGAAGCCGATGACCAGGGACGGGCCCGGCTGCCTCGGGCTGGAGGGACCGGCTGCAGTCTCAGGCCTCCGCTCCAGGTCAGCGCCGGCATCCTCCTCTCCCCACCTCCCAGCCCCACTTTGGAGATTGAGGGAGGTGAGAGCCTCTGCTGGCTGGTCCTCCATCTCCAGAGTCCTGGGGATTCAGCTCAGTCTGTGGGGGGCCTGAGGCAGGGGTGCAGGTAGCAATCCGGTGCTCAGCCCGCAGGGGTGCACGTTGGGGTGACCAGTGGATGGCCCCTGCCTCTACACCCCAGTCTGCTCTTTGATCCAGTCCCGAAAAATCGGGAGCCTGGTGTACACGCCAGGCTTGTCCCTCTGAGCGCAGCCTTCGCCCCAGCTCACCACGCCGGCCTGGAAGATCCGCCCATCAGCCTCCACGCTGGACAGGGGGCCCCCGGAATCGCCCTGAGGAGAGACAAGTCCTGAGTGTCCTGCCCACCTTCCCAGGCCCACCCCGCCCGGCGCCCAGCACCCACCTGGCAGGCATCCACGCCCCCGCTCAGGTAGCCCACGCACATCATGCGCGGGGTGATCTGCTGTGGCAACAGCTTCTCGCAGGTCGTCTGGTTGATGATGCGGATCTCGCCCTTCTGCAGGATCAACACGACGGTGCCTGGCGAGAGGGCAGGGCGGGCTGAGCTGGGGGGGGCAGGCGGGCTCCTGGGGCCACGCCACATGGGGAAGGCACCCTCCCACAGCAGTAACTGGACTAACAACATTCTGGACACAACCCAAGCCTGAGGCGGACAAACGGCTAAGTAACTGATGACGCATCTGCCGTGGGAGATTGTGCAGCCACGTAAGCCATTAGGTGGCAGGCCCAAAAAGACCCCCTATACACCACGGAACAGCTGTGAGAATAAGGAACAGAAAGCGGCCCTGGCAGTTTGCTCAGTGGTCAGAGCGCTGGCCCTTGGACCGAGGGGTCGCGGGTTCGATTCCCAGTCAAGGGCATGTACCTTGTTTGCAGGTTCCCCAGGTAGGGGCACATGCGGGAGGCAACCAATCGATGTGTCTCTTTCACTTTGATGTTTCTCTCTCTCTCTCTCTCTCTCTCCTCCTCCTCCTCTCCCCTCCTTTCCACTCTCTCTAGAAATCAATGGGGAACATATCCTCAGGTGAGGATTTAAAAAAAAAAAAAAAAAAGGAGGAAGAAAGCACCATAAAATGCCTTAAGCCAGGTTATTTTTCTTTCCTCTCCATAGTCTACAGGTTCCAGCAGTGTAGTATAGCAGATCAGAACCGAGTGCTTCAATACAACATTTATAAGGGCCCTCGTGGAGGCAGAAGGAGAGAGGAGGCTGGTCTCCCACCTGGTCCCCGATACAGGCACCGCTCCACAGGCCCCTAAGTCACACTGTTTCCACTCAGTGCTCTTATGTTCCCTGATACCCTTTATCTTCATTTTACAGGCGAATAAACAGGCTCAGAGGTTTAAGCAACTCGCCCAAGTCATGCGACCAGGATGTCCATCCAAAGCCCGGCCTCCCAGCCGCCCCCCCCAACACCCTCCTCACTCTGGACAGCCTGGTCCTACCAGGGGAGGGAGGCGGGGCAGGCCAGCTCACCTCCCTCGTAGGTGTGGCCCCAGCCGGTGACCCAGATGGCCTTGCCCGTGGGGAAGTCGTGCGAGGTGTCGGGCAGGCAGATGGGCCGCACGGTGTTGCTGTACTCGACCGGCCGCTCCAGCTCCAGCAGCGCGATGTCGTAGTCGAAGGTGAAGTCGTTGAAGGAAGGGTGGCTGATGATGCGCTTCAGGCCGCGCTCCTGCACCCCCGAGGCGCTGCGCTTGCTCTGGTCATGTAGGCCCAGGTAGGCCTTCCACATGGTGTGGTCGGAGTACCTGCAGAGGGAGCCAGACAGCACCCCGTGAGCCACCTGCCGCTCACCTGCCGCTCACCTGCCACTCACCTGCCGCTCACTGTGAGGGGAGTGTGGCTCCTGCTTGGCCGCCGCCCTCAACTGGAAACTTCTAGGTGCCTCCGACCACCTCACTCAACCCCCATTCCCTCTTTTAATTCATTTTTATCTGTTTACCAAAAAAAAAAAATACCTTATTATATCTTACTAATCTCATCTTTCACAGAAGGAATAACACAGAACTCAATCCAAATGCTTTTCTAACACAGTGGCGTCTACTCTAGGTACCAACAGAATTGAAAAAAATGCCTTGAACTTGACCTATCGGGTTTGCTGCCGGTAGCAGGATCGCGGTAGCAATTCTGGAAGTGTCTCGTGTTTACTAGAGGGCTGAACACATAAGGACAAGACACTGATGTTGGGGGCCAAATTCTGACGCGGGAAAAGGGGGCCACAAATCAGGAGGGGGCAGAGGAAGACCCCTGTGCTGCTGACACACAGGGTAGCAGTACACACGCCTGATTTTTCCACAAACGCGCCCTAAAAGCAGTACCATCCCCAATACCAGCCAGAACTTGGTTTCTAAATATCCTCCTCCATTCAAAGGAACCAAGGCTCCTTGGAGAAATGGCTGTTTCCAGGTCTGGAGCAAGGAAACAAAAAAGCCAGCCTAGACCATGTATGTAACGGAAGTGAGTGGGTTCTGAAACAGTGAGGAGCCAGCAGGGCAAGGCGCTCACAGGCCAAACTCAGGATCCACTGAACACGCACATATACAACAGGCTTCGTTACTGCACACGCTGAATAACAGAGAAGGGGGAACGGAAACCCATGAGTTCATCCCGAGTCTAAAAAATCATTCCAAAAAATTAATGAGGAGGAGGAAAGGTATTCTTTACAGAAAAAACAGCTAATAAATACAGAAGAAAGGGTGGATGATAAATCGCATTTTGCACCCACCACAGCAGTAACCAACACATGCAAGAATCATTGAGGAGCCCAGTTAGCATGGTTCAGTGGTTGAGCATCGACCTATGAACCAGAAGGTCAACGGTTCAACTCCCAGTGAGGGTACATGCCCGGGTTGCGGGCTCAATCCCCAGTGTGGGGCGTGCAGGAGGCAGCCGATCAATGTTTCTCTCTCATCATTGATGTTTCTATCTCTCTCTCTCCCTCTCCCTTCCTCTCTGAAATCAATAATATATATATTTTAAAACCAATCACTGAGGAATGCTACAACCACTGGATAAAAGATTGTTGGGGAACACGATATTCACACTGACTCAAAGTGTCATCCAAGATTACTTATTCACAGCCCCGGGGGGAAGTACCTCTGGGTGGGGAAACCCAGGGACACCACGTAATCCAACTTTCCTCCCAGTCGGATACCACCTGCTTCCTGAGGACACAATATCACCGAGGCAGTATTTCCTACAAAAACGTGTAACCGAACTCTAATCGAGAAACAACAATCAGAAAAATCCAAATTGAGAGACAGCCTATAAAATAACTGGGCGGGACTTTTAAAAAATGCAATGCCAACACAGACCAAAAATTAAAGGCTGGGGGGAGCTGTTTCAGATTTAAAAGAGACTAAAGAAAACCAATGAGGCCTGGCCGGCGTGGCTCAGTGGTTGAGCAGCGACCTATGAACCAGGAGGTCACGGTTCGATTCCCAGTCAGGGCACATGGCTGGGTTTCAGGTTCGATTCCCCCAGTGTGGGGCGTGCCGAAGGCAGCCAGTCAATGATTCTCTCTCATCATTGACGTTTCTATATCTCTCTCTCCCTCTCCCTTCCCCTCTGAAATCAATAAAAAAATAGAAAATAAAATATTCTGTGAAGTTTAAAACAAAGTATGTGTGTGCACGGGCATGCATGAAGATATAAAACTAAAACAAATGTGGTAAAATTCAACAATTAGTGAAATAGATGAAGGATATGAGGGAGTCCACTGTACTTTTTATTCTTTCATGATACTCGCAACTTGGTTGTAGGTTTGAATTTTTTTTTTTTTCAAAATAAAAAACTGGGAAAATAGGTCTTTAAAACAGAAAACGCATATGATCTCAAACCTCTCAGGAAGTCAGGAGGCTACTCAACCCAGCCTTGCAGACTCACCCTTGGGCGCCTGTCACCCTGTCCCTTCCCAGAGCCCTGCCCAGAGCCAGGTCCGGCAGCCCTCTGCTGACTCAGCACCCACCCCACCTCCACCCTCCATTCTTGCCGCCCTTCCCTACGGAGTCTCACACCCAGACCGAAGTGCCAGCCTCCACACAGACCTTTTGGCCTCTGGTTTCACTCTAGTCTGTTGCTGCCAGATAACAGCTCCCTAAGGACCTCTTTGTCATACTCGACAACCTAACCTGAGTCCCCAGACCTACCCAGTCAGCCTCACCTCACCAACTGGCATTCCACATCCCCCGCTAATTCTGCCTCACCCTTTCTAACTTCCCCCCGACACCCTCACAGTCAACCATGTCCTCATCCATTCATCTACTTCTTTACTCAGTAATTACTGGGCTTCTCTGATGTTCTAGGAATTGCACTAGACCGAGTCTTTGAGTTCACAGTGAACGTGGGGAGGGACCCAGGAGAACGGCCACGACACAGTGTGCGAAGTGTCCCTCAGAGGGGGGGGCAGACCCTACAGGAGAGCGTGGAGTGGAGGCGGGAGGCGGGACAGGGAGCGGGTCATGGACCAGGCCTTGGAGACCTAATAGGACTTGGTCAGATCGACAGGTGGGGAGAAAGCAGCGTATTCAGAGAGAGAGCAAAGAGGGCCCGGCGTGGCTCAGTGGTTGAGCATCGACCTAGGAACCAGGAAGGAGGTCACAGTTCAATTCCCGGTCAGGGCACATGCCTGGGTTGCAGGCTTGGTCCCCAGTGTGGGGTGTGCAGGAGGCAGCTGATCAATGATTCTCTCTCATCATTGATGTTTCTATCTCTGCCTCTCCCTTCCTCTCTGAAATCAATAAAATATACTTAAAAAAAAAACAAAAGCAGAGAGTGCAAAGGGAATGTATAGGACGCCCCCCAAATTGAACATATGGACAGTGTGAGGCCAGGACAGGCGGCTGAGGTTGAAGAGTCCTGACGGTGTGGCGTGTGGGTCACGCTGCGAAATTTCTACGCCACCCTGCAAGCCACGGCTGGCATATAAGGAAGGGTTGACAGGATCAGGGTAGCTCATTGGAAAGACGGCTCTGGCACTGGGGAGTACAGACTGGAAGTGCTCAGAGGAAGCGACACGATCAGGCAGGGCTGCTGCAACCACCTAGGCCGGGGCGCCGAGGCGGAGGCCGTGTGAGTGGGAAAGGGCAGAGCAGCTCCCGGGATACGGAGGAGGCCAGGGCCTGCGGCAGGAAGGATAGGACAGGGTGGGGGAGGAGGGGAGTCCCCTGTCCCTTCTGGCTCCATCTTCCTGGGATCCCATCACCTGCCACGGACATCCCTCTGTCAGCCCTGTGCTGCTGCAGAGCCCTGTGCCCCAAGACTCTCCACCCCTGCCCCAGCCAGGCCCACTCACCCAGCAACCCCAACTCCAGCCGCAGCGTCTTCCCTCTAAAGACATGGTACCCAGCTGAGGACAGTTTTTATTGTCTGAGCCGACCTCGTCTTGACCTGTTTCAGGTGCACACCTACCAGTAACAGAAGCCAGCCGGGAGGTGTGGCACCGAGGTCCCGGTGACTGCCCTGGTGTGGGAGAGGACCCTGGGGGAGGTCAACAGTCGGACGGAGCTGACCGCTCGCCAAGAACTCCTCTAGGTCCACAGGTCATGTCATTTTCTCTCCCGAAAAGCCCTTCCAGGTGGGGCCGCCCATTCTCAGATGAGGACTCACGCACAAAGAGGCTAAGTAACTTGCTCATCCAAGACCACACAGCTAACAAGTCACAGATGATCCAAACCAGCAACCTATGCCCTCAGCCACAACATGGTACCTCCTCTCGGGAAGGACTGCGAGCATCTGAGACCTAGAAACGCGTCCGTAGTGACCGCGCTCCAGGTCCCTGCGCTCTCCACACCTGCCTCTGCTCACAGCTCTCCCTCTGTCTCAGGTCTGTCTCCTGGTCCGGTGACAAACGCCCTCGCATGTCACACCCAGACCAGACGCCCCTGCCCACATAGCGGATGCCTCACAGCCGCCCTCCCCAGACCTCGGGCAGAATTCTAGTCACTTCTGCCCACGGTGGAGTTGGAGTGAAGGTGACAGAATGGGAAGAGGAAGGACAGTCAGGTGCACGAGGCTGCACTGCCCAGCGAGGCCCCAGGGACCGCAGTGCCAACTCCATTCCCTCCACCCACGTGCCGTCTGACCATGCCCACATCTGCGCCTGGGAACTCCGTGGTGCCACAGGCCCTGTCCCTCGGGAAGCCCATGGCTGCCCTCTCCCTGGCAGCCCGGGCGCCTCTCGGAGCCTGTGGCGGAGCAGCACAAGCTCACAGGAAGGCCCCGAGCGTGGGAACCCCTGAAGCGTGGGAATGTCTGTGCCCTGTGCCCGCAGCGCCAGGAGCAAGCTGTCCCCTAGACGCCCTCCTGAAGCCACTGGCCAGCCCGTCCTAGGGACCCCAGCACAACCCTTCCTAGGGACCGTCCCGGTGCTGGGATCGAGGCTGACCCAGACCTGCGGTTACAACATGCCGAGCACCTACTGTGCGCAGACGCAGAGCCCAGCACTTCATGTTTAATCCTCACCATCTAAGGATACGAACTCCCAGTGCCACCGAGAAGCCTGAGGCCTGGGAGTGTGAATACCTGCCCGTGGCCACCTGCCTGTCGCTGCTCGGCTGGTCTGAGCAAGTCCCGGGGAGCCCGTTAAGTGCAGCGACGGCCCAGCAGGCTGTGGGGCCACACACCTGGGCCCGGGTCTCGCTCTGCCACTCGGTACCTGGGCAACCCTGAGCAAACGTGCTTACCTCCCGAACCTACGTTTCTGTAAAATGCCACGTGGGCAGACCTGCCTGGCCGGGTCGCTAGGAAACCACTTAGGTCAGTGATGGCGAACCTTCTGAGCTCAGTGTGTCAGCATTTTGAAAAACCCTAACTTAACTCTGGTGCTGTGTCACATATAGAAATTTTTTTTTTAAAATATATATTTTATTGATTTTTTACAGAGAGAAAGGGAGAGGGATAGAGAGTTAGAAACACTGATGAGAGAGAAACATCAATTTAGCTGCCTCCTGCGCACTCCCTACTGGGGATGTGCCTGCAACCAAGATATATGCCCTTGACAGGAATCAAACCTGGGACCCTTTAGTCCGCAGACCGACGCTCTATCCACTGAGCCAAACCAGTTAGGGCACATATAGAAATTTTTTGATCTTTGCAACCATAGTAAAACAAAGACTTATATTTTTGATATTTATTTTACATATTTAAATGCCATTTAACAAAGAAAAATCAACCAAAAAAATGAGTTCGCGTGTCACCTCTGACATGCGTGTCATAGGTTCGCCAACACTGACTTAGGTGGTGCTTGCCTGAGAGGGAGCCCCTACGAGACACCTGTTTTCATTATTGCTGTGAGTAACCGCATCCTGGGTGTCTGTGCCCTCCAGCCCGGCCCCGCCCCAGCGCCGGCCCACCTTCATGACTCAGACACAGGCCTTCCAGCCCCAGAACCCACGGGAGGGCCTCCCAGAGCCCCGTCACCCCCACCCAGTGGCTCACTTGAATCCTCGGTCATCAGCGAAGCAGTGTGCAGCGGACACCATCCAGCTGGGGGAGATGAGCGAGGCCCCGCACAGGTGGCCCTGGCCCAGCGCGTGCAGGCTCACCTGCCAGGGCCACTCGCCTTCCTCTGCATCCTTGCCTCCGACCACCCGGGACTGCCTGCTGAAGGCCCGCAGCCCGCAGTCTGCGAGGGGCCGGGACCCGAAGGAAGGGCAGGGAGTTAGGGTGGGTGCCAGCTCCAGGCCCCGCCGCAGGCCCAGGGAGAGCCCGCGGGGGGCGCTCGCCTCGCAGTGGGCACAGCACTGCTGGTGCCATTGTGGCATAACAGACCCTACGAGCGAGGAACTCTGAGCCTCGGACCCACTGACTTCCACGGGGCCCCTTCCCTGCTCCCAAGGTCAATACCCTCACATGCCCCCATCCTCCCCCCCTGCACAAATGCATTCGGGAGTCTGCAGACACCTGCTGGTTTGCTTAGATTACCAGGGGTGCCATTTGCCTTGATTTCCCTGGCAAACGCTGAAGACACAGCTCAGGGGGAGCACGGGCGGGTGACATGAAGTCAGAGAACAGCTGCTATGCTCAGATATAACTTGGACCAGGGCTTCTGGCACACACACAGGAGACTGCAAACTAAAGCATGGGGTGGGGTGCGGGCAAACACTGGTGAGGGCTGGGGAAGCTGTGCCCCCTCCCCCGGGCAGGACAGGAAAGCCGGGTCCAGAAGCAGAGGCCAACACTGACCTAGGTGGTGCAGACCATGCCCACATCTGCGCCTGGGAACTCCGTGGTGCCACAGGCCCTGTCTCTCGGGAAGCCCATGGCTGCTCTCTCCCTGGCAGCCCCGCCGGGACCAGGACAGCTGAGCTGCTGGCTGCCCTGGGCCTTGCCTCCCGGACCAGAGCACGCCCCTGGGGCAGTGCCCTCGTGTCAGTCAACAAGTCGGCAAGGTCATCCTTTCCTCCGGGCAGCAGCCAGGGCAGAAATGGGAGTGGGAGGCCCTGGCGGGTTCCGCCTCTGTCTGTGCCCGCACAGTGGACCCCCTGTGCCCGTGGGCGGCCCGCTCACCGCAGTTCTTCTCATCCGAGCCGTCGCTACAGTCCTTCTTCCCGTCACACTCGGGGTTGGCCTTGCTCAAGCAGAGCCCGTTGTGGCAGCGGTAGGTGTGTTTGGTGCAGGCGACGACAGTCCCTGCGTGGGGAGCAGGACATGGGGAGAGTCAGTTCCACTGGGGACCTCCTCAGCAGCCTGCCATCCAGCCATCTGCGCCCCTCACTCAGGCCCGGCCCACCCGCCACCCCACCGTCCACTGTCCTTCCAGCCCTGCCCAGGGTCCTCCACGTTCTGGAAGGTTCTCCCTCTGTGGACGCCCTTTTGTCAAGAAGGCAGTTTGTGTTTATTAAGCTCTGCACGCACTGCATGTGAGTGTGCTTGGGCGGCTTCCCGGGAACAGGGGGAACCCCCTAAAGGTCAGAGGGCAGGGCCAGGCCTTACCGCCGCTGCACTTGGCCTCATCGGACCCGTCCCCACAGTTGTCCTTCCCATCACATCGCTGGCTCTCGGGGATGCATTTCCCGTTGCCACACTTGAAGTTCTTATCTGGACAACCTGGGAAGCAGAAAGCACTGTCAGGGGTCCAAGTTCCCCCTGAGTGGACGGCAGGGAGCCGGGTCCCCCCGGGCAGCCCCCCACGGGCACTCACTGCACTCCAGCTCGTCGCTGTTGTCCCCGCAGTCGTTCACGGTGTCGCACACCCAGAAGAGGGGCTTGCAGAACTTGTTCTTGCAGGTGAACTGGTAGGTGGCGTTGCATTCTGGGGGTGCGAGGGCGGCAGTCAGCTGGGGAGGCTCAGCGGGATGTGAGCCCCCAGCTCACCCGGGAAGCTGCCGGGGACCTGGTCCCTGGAGAGCATCCGGGTGCCCCGCTCACCGCCTGTGGAGCTGCTCCACGGGGCCAAGGCTCCGCACAGCCGAGCGAGGGAGGGCTAGATGTCTACTCGGGGACGGGCACAACCTCCCCCCACCTTCCGCCACCTCAGGCCACCGGGACCAGCTGGCAGGCGCCAGGGCCCGGCAAGGGCAAGAGAGGATGTCCGGGCCCACGGCCCCACTCACTGCAGTCGAGCTCGTCGCTGTGGTCGGCGCAGTCGGCCCAGCCATCGCAGCGCAGCTCGTTTCCAATGCAGCGCCCCGTGTTGCACATGAACTTCCCCGGGCACGCTGCGGGGAGAGGACAGGCCTGAGGTCTGGGCCTCCACCCACCTCCACGGCTGGCTCCCCCCCTCACCTCCCTCCCAGAGCCAACCTCGCAGCCACACTGAGGACTAACGAAAACTGGCCTGTCCAACCCTGAACGGAGGGCAGCAGGCTGCCACGGGCACCAGAGGGCAGGGGTCTTCTGGTCCACCAAGCGTGGCAAGGGGATTCCTTAGAGCCGAAACAGGAAGGCTGGCCCAGGTCCCTCCCGATGGCCCTCGGCCCAACCCCGGGAGCTCCGGGCAAAGCAGAGAGGGGCTGGCTGGGTGTTCCGTGGCCCCCGAGTGCCAGCGCCCCAGAGCGACACAGAGCAACAGCAGCTGGGCAGCTCGGGAATGTGGGTGTCCTGTCCCGCATTTCCCTAATCAAGGCATTTCCCGCATTCCCGTGTTTCTGAAATGGGAAGGTGTCTGACACCTGATGTCATCACGCAGACGGCGAGGTTTGGGGAGACCACTGTCACTTTGTCTGCATCGGTAGCTTAGTCACTTATCCTAGGGGTTTGCTCAGCCAGTTTCACTTGGTGGAGAGCCATGCAGTTGAATTTTAAATTAAAACCTTGGACTCCTGTGTACAGTCAAAATGTCTTTCAAAAGGTTATTCTCCGATGAAGGGCCAACACACAAAAAAACAAACAGTTGTATGTGGAAGAACCGCTACTCACACCACAGACAGTGAGATTAAAGGCAACAGAAACTGTTGGTCCCTCAGGGACAGCTCATGCACCTGTCAAAGCCAGGAGCAGTCAGCGTGGTGTTCACGCCCAGAACTTTCCAATGTCTCAAAATTATGCTATTAACCGTAAAGGTGCTAAAAGGCCACCAAGACAAGCACCGATGATCAGTGATACTGAAACACAGGGACAGGTGGTCCAAAGGCACCCAGAGTCCTCGGGCTGAGGGGCCACACCGGGGGCCAGAAGGCGTGGTATGTGCCCATGTTCACGGGGGTCTTTCTTACATGCATGGCCCGGCCGGGCGTGGCTCAGTGGTTGAGCGTCGACCTGAGCGTCGACCTGAGCGTCGACTTATGAACCAGGAGGTCATGGTTCAATTCCCAGTCAGGGCACATGCCCGGGTGGCTGGCTTGATCCCCAGTAGGGGGCACGCAGGAGGCAGCCAATCAATGACGTTCTCTCTCTCTCTCTCTCTCTCTCTCTCTCTCTCTCTCCCTGTCCCTTCCTCTCTGAAATCAATAAAATTATCTTTAAAAAAAATAGATTAAAAAAAATACATGCATGTAAGGTGGCCTTTATCCGCTCAGAAGGCTGCCAGAGGGACAGGCGCCTCACACTGCCTGGTGTCTTAGGATGAGGAAGGCCCAACGCTAAGAAGATGCAGCACGGAGGGCCCTTCCCCCCAGCCAGGTTCCTCCTCCCGAAGAAGCCACTCACGGTCACTGGAGTCATAGGACAGGTACTCGGCCAGGAAGCCCGTGTCGGTGTAGGACTGGTCCGAATGGAAGCGCACCGTGATCCTGCTGCTCTTGCTGGCGACCACAAACTGGGACTTCTCTCCGCAGAACCTGGGGGGGAGCCCAACTGTAGGCAGAGGACCCCCCAGGATATGGGGACACCCCCCCCACATGGGCACCAGGCCCGCTCCCTGACTCCCCGGCCAGTGCCCCCACTTGCCGGCTTGCTCCCCCACTCCCCAGGCGACGCCCCCTCTCCCAAGCACTCACTTCTCCCCATTGACCTCCACATAGTCCTTGGGGCACGTGCCCGTGGGCACATTGGGCTCCCACAGGTAGAAGACTTTGAAGGACACCTTCACGTTTCGGTTGTGGGGCACCTGCAGAAAGACACGCTGCTGGGTCTCCGCGGCTTCATTCCCTCTTTCCCAAACCCGAGGGTGTCAGCGGGCGGCCGTGGGGCTGGGAGGAGGGGGTGGGCAGGGGGCGTGGCTGCTGCTTCTCCTCTCGGGCCACGGGGGCAGCATGCCACCCAGAGCAGGAGGGGTCAGGGGCCGTGTTTGGAAGAACCTCTAGACTCAGGAGCAAGAGACACGGTTATAGCGCTAAAGCACGCTGGGCCCGGCCAGTGTGGCTCAGTGGTTGAGTGTTGACCTATGAACCAGGAGGTTATGGTTCGATTCCCAGTCAAGGGCACATGCCCAGGTTGCGGCTCAATCCCTAGGGTGGGGTGTGCAGGAAGCAACCAATCAATGATTCTCTCTCATCATTTATGTTACTATTTCTCTCTCCCTCTCCCTTCCTCTTTCTGAAATCAATAAAAACATTTTTTTTTTTAAATAAAGGGCTGGAAGGTCCTCCCATCATTATCGAGGGAGGAAAACGGGATGGGTCTGGGATTGGGAGGGCGTGAGAAGCAGTCCTGTGGGCGGGACTCTTGTCCCAGGGCCATTCAGCAAGTGCGCTCAGCGGCACATGCCCACTCCGACCTCGTCGTCCCCCCCGCCCCTCTGGCTGGGAACAGCCACCAGCCCTCTTACATGACCCAGAGCAAGCTGCCCCCGCCCCTGCCCACGGCCCCCAGACAGCCACAGAGGAGCTGGGACATGAGTCTGGGTCTGCCTGACTTCGCAGCAGGTCAGCCCCGCACAACCCTGCCACGCACGACCCTGCCACCCGTGCAGCTCACCCCTGCAGCCTCTCGGGGTGGCCAAGGAGCTCATCCCCTCTGCCTCTCTCTCATCCATCTCCCTGACCCCTCCTTCGCCTCCCCCCGCAGCTCCTACCTCGATCTGCCACGTGCAGTTGATGTTGGGAGGGTAGTGGCCCGGGTAGTAGGGGCTGCTAAATGTCCCGCGGGTGTCATGTAAGTAGCCTCCACAGCCTGAGAGGGAAGAGGAGAAAGAGCAAGAGGACTGAGCACGGGCTGGGCCAGACGGAGAGGCAGGGCTCTCGGCTGCAGGCCTGGCAGCTGGGCACAGCCAGTGCCGGGAGGCTGACGGCGTTGGCGGGGCTCCGGACCCAGGTGAAGGGCTAATGGTCTATGGCTTAAGCTTCCAGCCTCTGTCACCGACCTGGCCAGCCCACCACTACCTGCTGTCCCCTTCTCCCTCTGCCCACCCCTGCCCCTGGCCCTCCTGCCCCTGCCCCCACCCCTCCCCTCCTTACCGCTCATCTTGGGCATCTGGAAGAACACGGCTTCAAAGCCAGGGTGTCGCCGCTCCGTGTTGGTTATCAGCGTGACGAGCAGGACATTCTGGGAGGAGATGAAGGTCAGGTTGTAGGAGGGGGGGTAGGTGCCACACAGCCTGTGGGGGCAAAAGAGGCGGGCGTTAGTGAGGGCAAACAGAAGCCACACAGAGGGGGCCCAAGGACCCCACCCCTAACCCTGGGCCCCTTCACAAAAGGCCCGCCCCACACATGACCTCAGTAAGGATTTAATGATAAGACGGTCCGTCTGAAATAGCAAAACCTCAGAAACACTGACTGCCTAACACTGGAGGATTCGTTAAACTACAGGTTAACTAATTGCAATAACAGGAGTCGCAACACTATGAACTACGAATGCTCAGTGCTCTTACAGCCATTAACTCCAGGAGCTTCACAGCAACTGTGCACAGTAGAGACGATAAGCCCCATTTTACAGATTAGGACACTGAGGCATGGAGAGGTGAACTAACGATTCCACAGTCAGTCAGTGTCGGGGCTGAATTCAAGCCCGGGCATCAAGCTCCGGAGCCCACACGGCCAAGGACTGTGTCCTGTGGCCTCTCAGCTACACCACATCTGTCCCACCGGAAAACGAGGATCAGAGACAGAATTACTGATTCGGAAAGTCCATCACAATCAAGGGTGGGGCAAATGTAGGTTTAAAATTGTGAGTACGTGAAACGCAGGCTTTATTCTTGTATTATTCATTAATTGTTGTATTACTAGAGGCCCGGTGCACGAAATTCGTGCAAGAATAGGCCTTCCTTCACCTGGCTGCCGGCACCGGCTTCCCTCTGGCATCTGGGACCCGGGCTTCCCTGGCAGCCCCGGCTTTGCCCAGAAGGACGTCCGGCCTAATTAGCATATTACACTTTTATTATTACAGAGTTTCCATACGAACAACTGTAAACCTACTTTTGCCCTATCCTGTATACTTCATTTATATTTATTCTTTTATTTTCCCTTCATTTTATTTTAAACTTCATTTTTTAAAAGCAGATAAAACCAAAGGTGCTGTATAACCCCATATCCTATATAATAAAAGCCTAATATGCTAAGTGTCCAGTCCTCCGTTCAACCAATCAAAGCGTAATATGCTAATGATATGCTAAGGTTGCTCAACCGCTTGCTATGACATGCACTGACCACCAGGGGGCAGATGCTCCAACCGGTAGGTTAGCTTGCTGCTAGGGTCTGGCCAATTGGGACTGAGCGAGGAGCAGGCCTAAGCCATCAGTCGGACATCCCCCGAGGGCTCCCGGACTGCAAGAGGGTGCAGGCTGGGCTGAGGGGCCCCCACCCCAAAGTGCATGAATTTCGTGCACCGGGCCTCTAGTTTAAATATAATCACAAACAGACACTCACACAGCAGAAAAGTCTGGAAGAACAGACATCACAAAATCAGCAGTGACTGTTTCTGGATAGTAAGATTATGAATGATGTAGGTCCCCCTTACGCATGCCTGTTTTCCACTCCTGCCTCCCAGGAGATGTGTTTATTTGTAGTACAGTTAGTAAAGTAGGAGGGAGAGAACCCTGCACCCAAAGGGGTGTGGACAGAGGTCCTGATGCTAAGCTGTGGAAGCAGATGGTTCCCGCTGGGTTTGGGCTTGACTCTTAGCCTGTCATTCATCCTGAGATGTAGGCAGAGCTGGGGAGGGGGCAGTCCACCCACCCGCAGTGCCTCTGAGGGTAGCTCCTGCCTGACCTGCAGCTGGCGGGGGTGACGTTCATCTCGCACCCCAACCTCCGTGGCAGGTGCATGCTGCCTTTTGAGTCCCTGCAATCCCGATGCTTTCGCACCTGGGACTTTGCTGACTGGAGAGAGGGCCCTCCCAAGGTCAGGCCATTCCTAGAGACAGTCTAGACACACCCACGGCCAAGCCTTTCACGTGTAAGCCAACCCATCCAGAGCCCACCCCACGTCTCCTCCCTGGGGCTCCCATATTCCTGGCCACCACCCACCGGCTTAATCACCCCACAGCCAGGCCCCAGCCCCGGAGAGACAGCCCCAGGCCCCAGAGCCCATTGGAGGCACTTAGAGCACCTCCCTGCCTCGCCTTTCCTGCGGGAACCACACAGAACAGCACTGCCATGTTTGCCACCGTGTCCTTGCCTCCCGACCACCCTGCTGCTTCCCCAGGGGGGCCCTCTGTTTGGGAATTGTGAGTAGCAAACTCTTTTCTTTTCTTTCCTTTCTTTTTTAAGGTTTAAAGGCCATATATATATTAGAGGCCCAGTGCACAAAATTGGTGCGGGGGGGAGGGGGCATCAGCCCAGCCTGCACCCTCTCACAATCTGGGACCACTGGCTCCTAACCGCTCACCTGCCTGCCTGCCTCATTGCCCCTAACCCCTCTGCCTGCCTGCCTGATCGCCCCTAACTGCCCTTCCCTGCCAGCCTGATCACCCCTAACTGCTCCCCCCCTGCCAGCCTGATTGCCCCTAACTGCTCCCCCCGCCGGCATGATCACCTTTAACTGCCCTCCCCTGCTGGCCTGATCATTCCTACATGCCTCTGCCTTGGCCCTCGCCACCGTGGCTTTGTCCGGAAGGAGGCAGGACAACCGGAAGATGTCCGGTCGACCCGGTCTAATTAGCATATTATCCTGTTATTAGTATAGATATTTTTATTGATTTCAGAGAGGAAGGCAGAGGGAGAGAGAGATAGAAACATCAATGAGAGAGAGAATCACTCGTCAGCCGCCTCCTGCACTCCCCCTCCCTGAGGATTGATCCCGCAACTAGGGCATGTGCCCTGACTGGGAATCGAACCTCGACCTCCTGGTTCATAGGTCGACACCAGCCGAGCACCAAACTATCTTTTCAATGGCAGGCTCTCCCAACCTATAGGCCTCCACAAAACCGTGTTTTACCACCGCAGGGCACAGCGTGGCTCTGCAGGTAAAGGACACCCAGCTTACTGGTGTCCAGGGAACCCATCGCCCTCCTCACCGCGACCAAGGCAGAGACGTCGCCTCCGCCATGCTCCGCTGAGCTCATGCTGAGGACGGCGCCACACCTGCCCTCTGCTGCCTGTCAGTCTGCAGTGGCCGGTGACACACACTGTCTCCAACTTGGCCCAGAGGCCCGCCCACCAGAGGCACCAGCCCAGCTCCCACAGCCCACCTCTGCCCCCTGGGACACTCACTGTGCCACCGTGCGGGGTTCCACGGGGCTCAGGGTGTCATACACCACGACCAGGTCATTGCTATTGGGGTCACAGGCCGTGACATCAAAGCTTCGGAAGGTGAGGCTCAGCACGGAGTGGGCATCGCCCCGCAGGGTCCACTGGCAGCGGGCGAAGGCTGGGTAGGGGCTGTCGGGAAAGCCGGGCGTGGTGAAGCGAGTCTGTTCCCCCCATCGGGCATGCAGGGCGAATTTGCATCTGTCTGTGGGAAACAGAGGAGGAGAGGCAGAGCTGGGCGGAGCCGGGCAGAGCCAGGCAGAGCCGGGTGGAGGCGGCAGGGCCAGCAGCCCTGAACCCCGCAGGGGTACCCCCAGGGCTGGCCTCTCCAAGGCGCCCCAGGTTGCCATGGGCCCAGATGCGACCAGGAAGCAGCATCTCATGGCCTGGGGACAGGCGAAGGGATGTGCTGGCTGTCACCAAGGTGTGACTTGTGGGCACACCCGGATCAAAGGGCGTCTGGCCACACCCCAACCCGCCACTAGGAGGAGGGCATGGTACTTACTGTCCTGGGCCGTCTGCACTGTTCTGGGGTCAGTGGCTGAAAATCAAGAGGGAGAATCGAGGTTTTACTGGTCTGGCCTATTTCCTCGTTCCTGCTTCCTTGTTCCCCAGGGGAGGAGCCAGCAGCTCACTATCTTATCTTCCTGCGGAGGAGAGGGAGTTCCTGCCCGCCAATGCCCACCCCCAGCAGCCCGAAGGCCCGCACTCACGGAAGGCCACCACCGAGGTCAGCAGGAAGGAGCTCAGGGTGCGGGCGCGGGGCGGCAGGCGGATAGCGCGCTCCTCGGCCATGATGCGCTCGGCCTCCTCCACCAGGTGGCTGGGGATGCTGAACTCCGACCAGTAGTAGGCGATGACGCTGCCCTCGCTGCGGGGAGGCCGGAGTCTGAGATGCTCTGGGGCTCTGGGCACCCGCTGGGCCCCGCCCTGCCCGGTGCAGACCCAAACCCACATGTGGAAAAGTAGCAGAGGAGCACTAGCCCTCCGGAGCGGCTTACGGGGCAGGCCCGGCGCCCTCCTGCCTGGCGCCCTCCGTCAGAGCGACATGGCCCAGACAGGAGCTGTCGCAGTCGTGGAGAGAACAGGACTTGGTTCCCCAAGCCAGGGCCTCATGGCTGCATCACCCTGCTGGCCACCGGGCACTTGTCCCCCTCCAACAGCGCACGGATCCCATTCCCAGCACCTCCCCGGCCCCCGCCTTCTCCGCAGCACCCACCTGAAGGCAGTCACTGTCGACTCCTTGTAGTAGGGCCGCAGGACGGGGATCTCATTGTACAGTTGCTTCAGCTGCGGAAAAAGAGGAGGCTCAGTGAGGCCAGTACCTCTGCCCCCAGCCCAGGCCGCTCCCTTGGGATCTGGTGCCCTTCCGTGCCCCACACCAGCCCAGGGAGATACAGCCAGGACAGGGCTCCAGCCCAGGGCGTGGACTCACCGCCTCCTTCACTTTGCTGGCCAGCTCTACAAATTCAGTGGAGTTCGGGTTCTCATAGGCGTCCAGAAAGTTCTCGTTTGTGACCCTCAGGTAGCCATTAAAGACCTTCTGGATCCGCACGTCCCGGTCTGTGCAAAGCCAGGGAAGGAGAAGAGTGAAAGGAAGTGGCATCATCCCTGTCCCGTTCCCCAGTGTCCACAAGCTGCCCTCAGCAGCCCTGGGGGTGTGTGTGTGCAGGTGACAATAAAGGGCGTGGAAATGGTGGGCCAGGTCCCAGTGGGGTCCACACCCAAGCATGAAAAGCTACAGAACTGCTGACAACCAGGGGCAGGGGCAGTGGGTGCCAGGAGGGGCCAGTGGACCTGAGCACTATGGGCCAGCTCTGACCAATTCCTCACCCACCGCCCACTGCTTGAAAGAGGAAAGGGGAGGCAGAGTCTTAGACCCCCCCTCACCCACCCTGCTGCACTTCCGTTCTCTCCCTGTGTCCATAAGACTCGGGCCCTGGGTCTGTCCCTGAGGGGGGAGATGGGCCATCCCCACATCTCTCTCCCCAGTGCCCCCCCCTCCCCCTCCGCCGCAGCTTTACTCACACTGGAAGTGCCACACCAGGAAACCAGCCACGAGAGAAACCAGGAGGATCACAAGCACAGCAGCCACGGGCACCACCCAGGGCCTGAGGCCTCCTTTCTCCACCTTCTTGGTGTTGTTGACGGGCAGGAACTCCAGGCCTTCCTCAAAGGCATGCATGCTCTGCACAGAGGAAGACACAGCCGCTCAGACGCTCTCCCACCTGCCCCGCCTTGCAAACCCAGTCACTGCAGCTCTCCACGTACATGAATCCGCTCCGACACTCGGAGAGGCCCAGGAGTGGGGCCCAGCCCAGGGCCATGGCTGGCCACCAGGTGCCTCGGTGCAAGCTTCTAAAGGCAGCCCCTCCTCCAGCCCCCACGGCCCCAGGCCCCACCGATCCCCTGCCCCTGTGGGCAGCACATCCTAGTACACTGTACACCCTACCCAGTGGCCTTGCTTCGCCAATGTTTAACCAGTTGGCCGTGCCACCGTGGAACAAGCCACCTTGCTTTCAAGCTTAGGTGTTGGAGGGCAGGATTTCAAGGTGAGGTGAGGAGGTCATGACTCTACTGGAATCCATACTCATGCTCAGACCCAAGAACCGGGAAAACAACAAAATGTCCCACAGTCTGGCTGGCGTGGCTCGGTGGTTGACCTATGAACCAGGAGGTCACGGTTCAATACCCGGTCAGGGCACATGCCCAGGTTGCGGGCTCCATCCCCAGCGTAGGGTGTGCAGGAGGCAGCCGATCAATGATTCTCTCTCATCATTGATGTTTCTATCTCTGTCCCTTCCTCTGAAATCAATAGTAAAAGTATATTAAACAACAACAGCAACAAAAAACCACCTTCCCACAAACAGGATGGTGGTTTCCTGGGGTCCTCCCTGTAAAGGGGCATCAGGAAGTGGTGGTGGGGGGGAGCATGTGTGGATGGGGCAGGTGTGGGGCCAGCATGCCACAACAGGTGAACTTTTCTAGCACGCGATCTTCCAGCCTTCAATCCTGCAGAGGCGCCGTGTGTCATGAAATTGAACGGTTCACAGGCTTAACTACCTCATATCCACGGCAGAAGGAATTGTAATAAAAGCGAGAGTCCAGCCCGAGCCGGTTTTGCTCAGTGGATAGAGCGTCAGCCTGCAAACTGAAAGGTCCCAGGTTCAATTCCGGTCAAGGGCACATGCCCGGGTTGTGGGCTCGATCCCCAGTGGGGGACTTGCAGGAGGCAGCCTATCTATGATTCTCTCTCTCATCATGAATGTTTCTATCTCTTCCTCCCTCTTCCTTCCTCTCTGAAATAAATAAAAATAAATATATTTTAAAAATAAAATAAAAGCAAGAGCCCATACCCCAAATTCCACAGACGCGCCATTTTTAACCCTGTCTGGATGTGGCTCTTCTGGGGTTAACCCCAGAACTCTAAATAACGTGCCTGAACGGACATTTCTTGGTTTGTCACATTTAAACCTTCTCATGAAAGATTCTCCCCGCTCCTGTCATATTTGGATGCTTTTATCTCTAAGTTTTTAGTTTCCTAACTGGTTGTATCTGTGACTTTATATAACATTGCACACAGAAACACACTCCACAGCTCACCTGACCATGGTGATCATATCACAGTACATAAATGTATCAAATCAACCCGCTGTACACCTTAAACTTACACATTATTGTATGTCAATTACACCTCAATAAAAATACATTTTTAAAAAAGATATGAAACACACCCCGGAGGCAAAATGCTTGCTCTGGAATTTGTCCCCGTATTTCTACATTATAGGCCAGTGCTACGATCTCAATTCATCTATTTAAAATATAATCAACTGACTTTCTTTATGATCATATGGATTTCAATGCCCTTCCTTCGCTCTCACCCCACCTCCCCATAGTGATAGGGCTAAAGTTTTTTTTAAAAAAATACATCCATACTCTGTGTTTTCATTATTAGTCTCTGAAAATATTATTCACTATTGTTTCCTTCCCAGTACAGCTATATTTTGTTTTTCCTGCTGCAAATATTCTTTCACTTGGGTTTCTTTTTTTTTTTTTTTTTTTATGTATAGGGCGTAATGTCACAGGAAGGCCATAGTATTCTGCCACCGTGAGGAGTATGCCCAAGTTGCTGTTGGATGTGTTGTACACAGAGAAGCCATTCTTCAGGCACTCTGCTCTCTCCACACCCAATTGGGGTTTCTTTTTAACACACACCCAAGTCTTTCCATACAATCGAAGAGCTCTGAAATACTCTTCTAATCTCCCACACATAAAGTCTGTCAAATAACCTCTCATTTCATTTTCCTCGTGGGGCCTCCTTCCTACAGCCCTGTGTCCTTTCTCATAGCTATTGTCTGGAACCTCCTTCATCATCCTGGGAATTCCCTTCATCTCCCTCTTGTGTGAAAACCCCTGTTTCCTGGATTCTATGTCTTCATCTCTCTTGGATCATTTCATTTTGGTGGAGCACATACTTCAGTAGCTTCCGGAGAAATGTGAGACTTTGGATATTCCTGGAAGTACCTTAATTCTGCAGTCACGTGTGTTGATAGTTTAGCTGGGTAAAGAACTACAGGTGTCAAATAACTTTCATTTAGAATTTTGAAGGCTCCATCGTTTTTTAGCTTTTAATTTGGCTTTTGAGACAGATGATAATAGTATACATCCATTATTTTTTATTCATGATTTTTCACCTTTCTCTGAATCCTAGAGGATGTGCTTTGAATTGTTTTTTGTTTTGCTTTGTTTTGATTTTGTGAGCTGAGATCTCCACCTGCCCTTTGAATTGGAGAACTCTTCTCTTTCCGCCTAGAAAACTTTCTTGCATTATTTCTTAGATTATATCCTCCCCTTCATATCCTCTTCTCTACCTTTCTGCAATTTTTATTGTCTGTATTGATCTCCTACTTATTCTTTCTCTGCAATTATCCACCTTGTTTCTTAATCTTTCTATTGAGTTTTTTCATTTCTGCTTTAAAACTTTAATTTCCAACAGTTCTTTCTTATTCTCTGAATTTTACTCTTTTTGTTCTCTGAATTTTGGGTGGACAGTCTTCTCATCTTTGTATTTCTATGGAGTGCCTTTTCTCTTTCATGTTGAAGGCTTCCCCCAATGCCCAAGGATGCTTAGTTGTTCATGAATATTTAGGAATGAGGTCCGAAAGGCTATTTAGAAGCTTTGTGTGAATGGCTTGGCACAAGTGGGTTTTTTACTGGACATTCCCAACAGGTAAGCTATTGCAGATCTTTTCTCTGGGGTGCTTTAATTGCTCCAGAGAATTTTTTTTTAAATGTCTTGAATGGAGCAATTTAAACCAAGCCACTAACATTCCAGAACATGTGAGAGAAATCAATTTCTCACCTCCGATGGGGGACTGGTGCTGGTGGGATGGGGTGTTTTTGCTTGAGACAGAAGTGGGGATCTGAGAATTTCTAACAATGTCCTTCCCTTCTCGCCTCTGTCTCCTGTGACACCAGAGCCCAATTCCAGAGCCTAGCTGAGGATATTCTCAAAGAAATACAGCTCGTTCCCCAGTAGGGGGTGTGTAGGAGGCAGTGGACCAATGATTCTCTCATCATTGATGTTTCTATATCTTGCTCCCTCTCCCTTCCTCTCTGAAATCAACAAAAATATTTTAAAACATATAAAACATTGCTGAGAGAAATTTTAAACGACCAAAATAAATCAAGCAACATCTCATGTTCACGGATTGCAAGAGTCAATATAGTCAAGATGTCTATTCTCAAGTTTGTCTAGAGATCCAATATAATCTTGATCAAATCTCAGCCGGCTTTTTGATGAGCTCTCTGCTCTGAACTTCATATGGAAATGCAGCAGCCCATGAAAAGAAGAACAAAACTGGAGGACTAACATCACCTGATCAAGACTCACTACAAAGACAATGCATGTTTTTCTTTAAATTTCAAAAGTCATCTATCTCATTTCCAAGAATGATGCTTTATTCTTTGATGGTTACTTCACTGGGTAGTCTTTTCTTATTTTATAAATGTACTACCTTCTGGCTCTTTCTGAGGTTACCAACTATATATATGTGTATATATATATATATATATATATATATATATATATATATATGTAGTAATTCTCTTCAGAACTTTGTCTTTCTCTTTCAGGCTATGGGTTTTCTTTCGATGGCCAATGGTCCTTCGTTGTCTAATAATATTTAAAGATTTTTGAAAAAATAAGGCTTTAGAGCTAGACTCTCTAAACACTGTATATATATATATATATATATGTGTGTGTGTGTGTGTGTGTGTGTGTGTGTGTGTTAGAAGAAATGTAAGGAAATAATTATTGTTTTTATTTTCAATTTACAGAGTAATTTCACAACTATTTTCTTACTTGAGCCTCGCAACAATCCTGGAATCGCTCATGAGTGGTGCCACCACCCTGTCCTACAGACAAGGCCGGGAGAAATGAGGACTTTGCAGGATCACGCAGCCAGGTGGTCCTGGTCTCTGCCTCCCAGAGCGGTCAGCTTCCAGAACTCAGGAAGCAAGTATTCAGCGAAGAGGGACAGCAAGCCCCATGGACAGGCACCCCAGGGCGACTCAGGCCTGGCCTGGGAGCAAGGCCATCAGCCGTGGGACAGGCTCAATGGCAGAGCCTTGCTGGTCCCTGCAGTGTGACCGCTGGGCTTCACTCAGCCCAGAAAAGCTGTTTAATCAGTAATTAGACTGCTTCCTTTTATGACCCTACTCTCTGCTCCATTTTTAGGCATGTTAGAGATTACTTTGCCTAACCCAGTGGTTTTATTGATAAGGAAACTGAGGCGGAGAGGGAGTGACCTGTACAAAGGCACAAAGGTAGGGAAGTCAGTAAAGCAGCAAAGCCAGGCCAAGAGCCACGCCCTCCCACGCAGGCGAGTGGAGGAGGGGGCGGGGAGCTCCATCCACTCGGCTCGGCTACACACACCATCTCCCTCCACACAACAATCGCTCTGCAGGGCCCCGGAGCCAGCGGGAGAGGACGCATGCGGGTGCCTGCTTTTGCCTCTTCCTGCTCTCTTTTGTAGAAGTAAACACGTTCGCAGGTGTACATACAAAACCCCGCGCTGTGGACATACAAAAGCCAGATGCTTGCTTACTACAAACAGACAGAAAGGCCAATGGCCACCGGCCAGCCACAGGCCCAGACACCCTGCAGGGCTCAACGCCAGCTCAGAATGACTTCCTGGAGGGCAGGTGGGCGTGAAAAGCTTGGGGGGGTACATGAAGAGTGAAGAATCTGGAGGGATGAAGGGGGACGACCCAAGGGCCAGGTTGCAGGGACAGGGTCAGATGATCGCCATTCCCATCCAACTTCTTATTTTTATTATTTATTTATTTATTTATTGCCATTCAACTTATTAGCGGGATAGAGGGGATGGTCCAGAAATCCAGGAGCATGTAGCAGCCCTTCAGTATCCTGTTTTCTGTTGCTTTAAGCGACTCATCTCCTCCCCAAGACCAGTGGTTGTCCTAATAAACTGATGTACAAAAGCTATTTTTGACAGAAGAAAGACCCCTGTCGTCCCTGACTCCCATTAAGTAAGAAACTAACCAGGGATGAAAGCTCAATACTAAGCAAACAAAACCGTGTCCAAGTCAACCAAACAATCCTCCCACCCCAGAGGCACCTCTCCCGGCTCCCAAGCACACGCTGGCAGGCCAGCCACCAGTTCCCAACTCTCTGGGGCCCACGCTCCCACTGGCCCTAGGACCAGTGAATCCAGAGCTACACTTATCACTGGTCGTTCAGAGTGTGGGCCTCACGGGAGAAAAGCACCTAGTGAGTGTTGACATTAATAAATGGCAAAAATAACCCTAACTGCCCGGCCAGCATGACTCAGTGGTTGAGCGTGGATCTAGGAGCCAGGAGGTCACGGTTCAATTCTCGGTCAAGGGCACAGGCCTGGGTTGCGGGCTCGATCCCCAGTAGGAGGGGGTGAGCAGGAGGCAGCCGATCAATGATTCTCTCTCATCATTGATGTTCCTCTCTTTCTCCCTCTCCTTTCCTCTCTGAAATCAATAAAAAACAAATTTTAAAAATTTTAAAAATAACAACAATCTGAAAATCCATGCAAGATTCCCATGCAAGTAGATGAGGAATAAAGAAATCTTCATGCCAGATGGTTGTGTGTGTGTGTTTTTAAAGATCCTTGCTCATTAGGCTAAGGTTGGGTGTGACCTGCCAGGAAGGGAAATGAACCTGAAAACAGAAAAGGTCCCTCAGAGTCCTGGGAGGTACCGTGAAAGACCATCACACCGCAACTGGTGACCTGCTTTTGCTGCTGGAGACCAAGGTCAAGGGGCAGGGGTGATGTCACCGGCTGGAGACAAAGGTGTGTTGCTCAGACCTGAGACTAGAACAGGGTGGCCGGCTCCACGCGCCACTGCCGATTCTGCCGTTGATTTGTGGCAGGTGCTATTCACGTATGGGTCCGGTGACTCAGTGCACCCGTCACCAGACGGGGTGGATTTCATTCGGCTCCGTGATGTCATCACTGTCACTGTGGTCATTAGAGCCATAAAATATCCCTGAGATTGTTCAAGCAAGAAAGGACCGTCTGAGCATCTGCAATGGTTCTCCAAGGAGAGGAGGTGTTGTGTTCTGCGGCACTCGAAGGCACATGCCTTCCTCTACAAGGAGAAAGACAAAGCCAGCGTAACTCTCACAGCCCCTCCCGGATGCCAGTCCCTGTGAGATCCTGGCCAGAGTCCCCAGAAACACGGGCCACCCAAGACGACAGCGCAAGAAATGAATTCCAAAAACTAACGCTGCCTTTTGTCTTCCCAGGCGACGCTGAGCACAGTAGGGCCGCAGAGCATTGAGAGTCCAAGGTGAAAGTGGAGACAGGCCTCTTTTTTAAGTGGCTGGTTATCAGGGGACCCTGTCTCCAGGCGGGAGGGGCCCTACTTAGGATGGCTCTCTCTACTATTTTTTAAAAATATATTTTTCTTGATTTCAGAGAGGAAGGCAGAAGCAGAGAGAAACAGAAACATCAATGATGAGTGAGTCACTGATCGGCTGCCTCCCGCACACCCGCTACCGGGGATCGAGCCCACAACCCGGGCATGTGTCCTGACCGGGAATCGAACCGTGACCTCCTGGGCAAATACATCTCTCTACTTATGTCACCACCCACACCTAGGACACCTCGGGCAGCTGTGGACAGAGAGCAGCAGCCCATGCGCAGGCTCCTGGGAGCAAGACTTCTTCAGACGTCCTGCCGCCGTTGTAGCCCCGGCCCAGCACCGTGACCAGCACAGAGGGGACGCTCGGCTTGGTCATCACAGGATGACCAAAGGGATACAGGAGGAGGGAAAAGAGCCAATCAGAGGCCTCCGCCCACTCAGCAGCCCCAACAACTGATCTCAGGCCAGAGTCTCAGGATCCCATGGATGGTCCCACCCCAGCATTTCCCGACCGGCCTGGGCACGCAAAGTAACAATAAAAATGAAGTGAGGCCAGCAACGTGCTTCCAGCATCCACACTCCCAAGCCCCTCTCCACGGAGAGGCTGACACAGCAGCCAGGAGCAGGGCCAGGTCATTCTTAGGAACTTCCAGTCCCAGCAACTCAGCCTTCATTTCCCCGAAGCGGAGGCTGGGCTTGCCCACGTCCGTCTGACCACAGAGAGAGGTGCCAGCCGGTCAGTTTCAGTTTCAGCTGGACGGGGCGGGCCTTTGCTCCCATGCCTGGGGCCCTCCCACAACAGGCCCTGGGCATCCCCTGATCTCCTAGGCGGCCACCGGAGTTCCTCGGAGACACACGCCCAGCCGAGGTGGGGTCAGCTGGAGGTGGACTTCGGAACCTGCTGCCTCTTGTTGCCTAACCCTCTCACACTTGCCCTTTGACCCGTCACTGTCCTCCCACCAGAAGAAGAAGCCCAGAATTACCTGAGATCCGTGGCCCCGAGCCATCCAGGGGAACAGATCGCTGACCCCCAGCTAAGTTCCCAGTGAAGGAAAGAAATCAAACAAAGTTGCACACCTGGTTGGGGCAGGAAGAGAAGTTGCGGGGGCCTGACTCAGCCAACCTGGTGCTGTGTCAGCAAGAAACCCAGGGCTGGGCCCCTGCCAGCCAGCACGGCTCCCTCCCCAACTCCCTGCACTGCCCAGGCCCTGCCCACAGAGCAGGGTCCTGGGACCACACACCCCTGCAACACGACCCCCAAAGGGGACAGACCATAGACTGGGGAGGACCCCCAGACAAGTCCCTTCCTTCCCTTTTGAGGGATCGGGGTGGGTGGGACCTACATGAGGTGTGGGGCCTGGGAGCTCGGAGCCATTGGGGCAAATATGGCTCACTGTGCCTCGGTCTCCTCTCTAAAAAGTGGGTTAATGACCCCTTGCAGCCTTCTAAGTGGAGGTGTTGTAAAAACAAATTACCTGACTCATGCTAATGACAAGGGCCTACCTACCATCTCCCTTCAGTTTTGATTTCTCCACCCACCCACCGTCCCTCATCTGCCCAAAGCCAAGCAAGGCCCATTCCTCCCTCCGGTCTGTGGAGCAGCTGGAATCCAAGTTAAAACATTCAAACAAACAAACAAAAAACCCCTTCACAGCACAAGTCTGCCTGGAGGCCTCACACAGGAAGCCCCTGGGAGCCACAAACCAAGGCCAGCCCATCCCTGCACCCCAGGGCCTCCTCCTGCTGCTGCTGCTGTCTCCCCTCCATCTTCTCCTCTCCCCTCCTCCCCCTGCGCAGAGGCCAGTGGGGACAGCAGGGGGCGGAAGATGGGGGGTGGGGGGTGATAAAGCCCTCCTTGGGGTCTTGTCACCCATTCTCGGCCCTGAGGCCATTTCCCCAGGAAAGCCAGGGAGTCTGCCCGAGCACGCTTCAGGTCTCAGTTTACACATCTGATCTAGGGGTGCTGACGGCCCCCACCTCTCACCCTGTCCCCAGCCAGGAGGCCCCCCAATCCTGCATGAACCCAGGAGGCTGGGCCCCCTCCTGCCCACTCAGAAGGACTCCTCTCACCACCTACCAAACCTGCCTGCCCTTGAGGACACAGCCAAGGCCACACCCCTGAGGGAAACCTCTGCAGACCGCCTCAATCCACAGTACGTTCTCCTGGGCCCTCGCCTCCCCTATGACCTGCACCACCCACTTGGCAGCCGTGATACCCCACGGACACGGTGAGCACACCAGGCAGCCCTGAGAGGTCAGGGTGCCCCAGTTCTTACTTGTTCTGCTTCTTTCACCATCCCTTTACCCTTGACCTTGCCAACGTTAGCAACTGAGTGGTTGATTGATTGCTTGAAAGACATCTCTCTCCACAGCCAGGTGTAGAGAGCGTACCAGAAGCAAGCTGGGATAATCTCCCAGGTGAGCCCAGGGGACTTTCCGAACGCTTGTCGGGCGCTGGAAGGGGAGAGAATGCTCAGCTCACATCCTAGTTCTGCTTCCAGCGCCCCCCAAATTTGGTCTCTCCGAGTCTCTTCCTCTCCCAGGACACATCCTCGTTTGTAATTCCACCAGAGAATTCCATCTAGCTTCCAAATTCCCCCTCCATCCTGGGCCCCAAAGCCCCGCTGCCCCTTTCCTTCCCTTCCCTGGGCTCTTGGGTCCCACGAGGTCTGCACCACCCATCCCCATTTGCCAGAGGTCTTCTTCCTGGCCCCCCAACCTTCTCACCTGCCCCAGCGCATCACCAGACAGGGAGCAGAAACACCCGCCTGCAGCGACAGCCAGGCGGATCCCCCGAGAAACCCAGCAAGAGAAACAGGAAGTCAAGGCAGCGCCGTGTAACTTCTTCTCATTCTTTTTCTTGAGCCCACATTTTGATTTCACTGGCTAGTGCTTTCTGAATTATTGACATTTTCGTTGAGATCATGACAGAACCCTGTGCAGTTTATAAGAAATAACACCAAGGGGTCCCTTGGACACTCTGCCCGGGTTCCCCCAATTCTAACATCGTATGAAACTATATTACACGACCACAGCAGTAACATAATCCATTGATCTTAGTCACATTTCCCATTTTGCTCGTGTTCCTTTGTGTGTCAGTATGAAGTTCCATACTCTGTTATCACTGATGTCGTTTCTTGTATTCACCCGCAAAGTGGAGAATCTGATCCTCTTGCTGCCTGGGTGTGACCATGCCCACCTCCCCCCGGCCCCTCCCCACTAATCTATCTTTTGGTCCTAAAGCTGTCCTTTCTTTTAAAAAAAAAAAAAAAAAAATATATATATATATATATATATATATATATATATATTTGTATTGATTTCAGAGAGGAAGGGAGAAGGAGAGAGAGTTAGAAACATCAACGATGAGAGAGAATCATTGATTGGCTGCCTCCTGCACGCCCCCTACTGGGGATCGAGCCCGCAACCCAGGCATGTGCCCTTGGCTGGAATCGAACCTGGGACCCTTCAGTCCGCAAGCTGATGCTCTATCCACTGAGCCAAGCCAGCCAGGGCTAAAGCTGTCCTTTCAAACGTTATAGAAATGAATTACCCAGTATATAAATTTGGGATTGCTGGCTTTTTTCACGCAGCAGAATTCCCTGGAGCATGACTCAAGTCGTTGCACGCATCAGTAGCTTGTTCCTTTTATTGCCGAGTAGTCTTCCATGATACGCGTGTTGAACCTTTTTGAACAGCTGTGTTGGTGAACCCAGGATCTGCAGAAGTTAGTGGAAGAGCGCCAAGCCCACGTGCCTCCTGGCACTGACGGCATTAAAAAACATCTCTCCCACCTCCTGAGTCGCTCCCAGGCAGGCTGGAGTACACTCTACTGGCTGCTTGGGGGGAAAGAACTGAATATGCAAACAGGAAAGAAAGCACCACCATAAGGGAGGGGGCCTGGGGACCCAAGACCAAGGTTATAACCCAGAACCCCGTGGTGGAAGGAGGTAACAGGATAGGAGCCCGGGGAGAACTGCAGAACCATATCCTTGGATTTGGATTCTT